AGGGGTGGGGGTGGGAAATATGCCCAGAAGCTCATTTCAAAGCCAGACTCAAAGCTGGAATGCAGATTGGCTCAAGACTCAGAATTGGTGTGGGGATAAAGAGCCAAGCGTCACAGCTTTTTTGCTGCAACAAAAATTAGAGGTAAAAATATATGCAACATTATATAACATGAAAAACAAATCCCGGTTTAATCCCGGTACGTTGGACTTCAGTTAATACTTGCATCAGTGAACCCCACTACTGTTCGATACAAGTAATGAAATCAGGTAATTTTGCAGTCGGGTGGTGGTGGCTAATGTTTGTAATCCCAGCCTTCGGGAGGCAGAGACAGGCAGAGCTCTGTGAGTTCGAGGCCGGCCTGGTCTACAAAGTGAGTTCCGGGATAGCTGGGACTGCTACACAGAGAAGCCCTGTCAGGGAGGGGATGATAATTCTTCACTTTCTCCTTGTTTTTTCTTTTTTAAAAATATTTATTTATTTATTTATTTATGTATATAGTATTCTATCTGTGTGTATGCCTGCAGGCCAGAAAAGGGCACCAGACCTCATTACAGATGTTTGCAAGCCACCATGTGGTTACTGGGAATTGAACTCAGGACCTTTGGAAGAGCAGGCAATGCTCTTAACCACTGAGCCATCTCTCCAGCCCTTCTCCTTGTTTTTTTTGTTTTGTTTTGTTTTGTTTTGTTTTGTTTTGTTTTAACAAACCCCAAAACTATTCTTAGAAACGGTCAGGTGTTTTGTTGTTTTGGTTTGTTTAATTGGGGGGGGAGAGGTGCTGTTAAGAACTGAGACATGGAATTTGTGTTGAGATGAAGGCACGGGTTCTGAGGCGCCATCTCTGGCCCATCACACCCTTATGTTTCTGCATTGGGAAGGACCCAGGACAGGAGTGTCATCTTCCTAGTGAGGCCTCTGTTGGTTGAATAACAGCCCACACTAGGGTTGTTTCCCTAGTGGGGGGTGTGACATATGTCCCTACACTCACACAACCTAGAGAAGCAGGCCAAGGCTCCCCAGACCACATTGAGCACAAGGCACTCCAGTACCCTGCCAAGATATACCACCCTCCTGATGGGCCAGAGATGAGACGGAGTGAGCTGCTTCTGCTGTACACGCCAGCACGCGGGGCGTTCTGAAGGAGTAAGTGAATGTGAGGCCGCTACCTGCTGCCTTCTCTCCCCTCTTTCGTCTGCTTCCACCCCCATGACTGTCTCGGGTCACTAGACCCGGCTCTACCTCCATCCTTACTGCACCTGAGAATCTGAGCTCAGCTGCGGAAGGGTGCGCTCTTTCCTCCACGACTTCTCATAACTTGGGGTTTGTCCCTAAGCCCAGATGAAGCTGCAGACATTCAGACACAAGGAGCACTTCTTTGAAGAAGGAGGAGGGGAAGCATTGGGAGCAGGATTTACAGCACAGATGAGGAACCCTCAAGAGCTGCAAACAGCCCTGGAAGGAAGGCAAGTTCCACAATGAGCTCACACGGTGGTGTGGGCTGCCCAGGGCCCCTCTACTCCTTTTTGAGTCTGTCTCTCATCTTCAAAAAAAAAAAAGAGATGGACAGAACATGCTAAGAGTCTTAGGCTAGAGCAGGGTTGTGGGAGACCCAAACATCTAGGTTGGATTGGGGAGTTTCTCTTCCTATCCTGCAGAGAGTCAGGCATTCTCCAGGATGAGGCCAGCACCTTGTAGCACAAGGGGAGACCCACCTGTTTGGGGTGGAAGTTGCCATTGCGGTCACAGTTGGGAATGGGGATGATGAAGAGGTCTTCATGGGTCCGGCTCTGCGAGGCAGCCAGTCGCTCCAGGGCCCGGTGCAGCTCGCTCTGGCAGGAACCCTGGGGCTGGGGAGTGAACAACAAAACTGCTCAGCAGAAGAGAAAGGCGAAGAGACCACGCTGGGGCTCCAGCCTGGTCTACAGAGCTGGTTCCAGGACAGGTCCAAAGCTACAGAGAAACCCTGTCTCGGGGGGGGGGGGGGGGGGGAGGTAGGGGGGAAAAGAGGGGGAAAAAGGCCCTGTGCAAAGAGTCAAGGCCTGGGTACTGGGCACAAGAAGTGAAAGCAGAAACTTAGATTCAACTAACAAGGATGGACACTAAAGTACGCCTTAAAAAGCTGGCAGTGGTGGCACATATCTGTACTCCCAGCACGCTGGAAGCAGAGGCAGGAGGTCTATTGCAAGTTCAAAGCTAGCCTGGTATAAATAGGAAGTTCTAGGCCAGCCTGGGTTACAAAGTGAGACTCCTGTCTTACAAGAAATAATTAGGAAAATGGGGGTAGGGGTTAAAGAGGGAATGGTAAGGAAAGAGGCCTTGGGGGATTTATAGGCCTAAGCAAAAGGAATAAACAAGGTAACCCCTAGGCTTGAGCCCCACTGGGACAAGTAGCCAGACCCTAGAGTAGGATCTCAAATCCTCTTGCTGTGGCCAGCTTATTAAATCCTTTTGTTTCCAAGAGTTGGGCAGAGAATCCAAGAAAAGGACCAAGAGTTAGGTGATGGTGGTGCACACCTTTAATCCCAGTGCTTGGGAGGAAGAGGCAGGTGGATCTCTAGGTTCAAGGACAGCCTGGTCTAGAGTAGTGAGTACCAGGATAGCCAGAGCAACACAGGGAGATCCCGACTTCAAAAAACATCAGAAAAGGAAAAAAGTGGAAAAAAAAAGGATCAAGAAACACTAGAGAGCCTGGATCCTGCTTTTACCAATCAACTCAGCTATGCCATATTTATGTGCAGAGCAGAAGAGGAATCACAAAGAGAGAAATGGGTTTCTCCCTGGGCTCTTTTGCACACACAGAAGGCTCTGGGGTTTGCTGGGTGAACATAGCCCAAGTCTAGTAATGGGATTTCTGTAAGCATACATCTGCGGGTCAGAGGTGCTCACCACAGGACGGGGTTCCTCCCGGGGTGTTCCCACGACTTTCATCTTGCTCCGATCTCGCATTTTGGCCATATGCTTCTGCAGGCACCTGTGATCGTGGGCACTGCAGGGGTTGAAGCTGTTGTTGGGATGGTCGCTCTCATCCTTGTCTGTAGGCCGTGAGGGGAAAGGCAGAGGTCAGTACCAGAAAAGAACAGAGGTTTACACTCCCCCAACCTCCCACCTGCTTCCTCCGGCATCAGGAGTCTCCATAGCACCCACAGAGCCTCTGTTGGGAAGAAATAGGAGCAGCCCCCAGTTTCACCCCACTCCTCTGGATGTCTTTGGAAGAATATTCCTCTTGAAGTCCTTGACTTGTTCCTCACCCCACCCAGTTCAGGATTCAGATAAGTCACCAGCTGCAGCAGCCCAGATGGCAGGGGGGATCCCTTGGGCCCTGCAGGGAGGTCTGAGGCAGGCAGTGGGAGGGGGGACTACTGGATCTTCTACCCGCTCTGTTCAGCTCCTCCCACCAACCCCCTCTCCATCTGCTCACTCTTCCGGTCTCCTTCCCTGCTCTTTCAGCATCTGGCTGAGCCTGCCAGGGATTCCTAGGGCCAAAATCATATTTTCCATGAGCGAGGAGTCTGGCCCCAAAGGTTCTCCCACTGTCTGGGTCTGTTAGTGTGTGTGCCTGCCTGCATGAGAGGGAGAGGGGGAGAGAGAGAGAGAGAGAGAGAGAGAGAGAGAGAGAGAGAGAGAGGAGACAGAAAGGAGAGAGAGAGAGAGAGGAGAGGAGACAGAAAGGAGAGAGAGAGAGAGAAGAGAAGAGAAGAGAAGAGAAGAGAAGAGAAGAGAAGAGAAGAGAAGAGAAGAGAAGAGAGGAGGAGGAAGAGGGGAGAGGAGGTGGAAAGGAGGGGAGAGACTGTGGCCCCGGAGCAAAGAAAACAGCCACACACATTTGTCCAGCCACAACCCCTAGGTCTTGCATCTTTAAACGTGAGGCACCATACAATGTCCATGTGAGTCACCCAGAAACAGGCAAAGGGCTATCTGGAGATGCGAATCATGAAGTTGGACCCTGTCTCTACGGCCCCTCCTGAAGGTTCTATGTGAGCTGCCCCATCCAGCAGGTCCCGCACTGTGACCATGCTGCTCCCTCCTGGCAGCCAGGGCCGGAATGCAAGGCTGAGCAGGGAAAGGAGGTTGGAAAAACTTCTCAGCACATCAGAGCCACCTCTGAAATGCTCAGACTTGGCAGCTCAATGCAGGCCCAAGAGCAGAGCTCCTGCCAGCATTCCAGATGTTGGCAGGCCGACAAGAGGTTACATCTGGTTTGCCTCAGGACTTTTTTTTTCCTAAGGAGTTAGCAGGTTCCTCCATACATGGCAACAGTCCCAGAGCTGCCTCTGGGTCAAATGGTATTTTTCTGCCTAGCCAAAACCGAGGAGTTGGTTTTTGTTTTATTCTTCTGGTTTGGGAGACAAGGGAAGGGAAGCATGCCGATGAAGGACACCAGGCAAGGAGGGATCTATACCATATATATATGAAAACTGTTAAGATTCCATACCAGAATAAAACTGACTCACCAGGGATAGGAGATTTTGACGTGCTAGTGTAGAATTAAAGGCCAGAAATAGGTAAAGCAGATAGATACAGCCATCCTTCTGCAGATGTGACAGAAGAATAGTCCCAAGGGGGCCCCGGCCCTACATCAAGCTTGGGAGAGTCAGCTGAAGAGGATGGAGGTCAGTTCTGAGAATCACATGACATAACCAGTCTGTTTATTCTCTCTGATTGGCTGTCTTTTCACAGTCAGAATACCTTTGCACAGACTCTCTGGTTCTTTTTGGTAAACATGAGATGTTTTTAGGATCAGAGTTCAAGGATTAAAGAAGAATTTGAAGTAGGGATGGGGGTGGGAGGGACAGGCAAGGATTCTACCCCCAAGCTACAATCGCAACCCCACTTTTCTTTTCTTTTGTTTTGAGACAGGGTCTCACATAGCCCAGAGAGGCCTCACAAAAACTTGCCATGTAGCCAAGGCTGGCCTTGAATTCCTCTTTTCCTACCCTCCCTGCCCAAGTATTGGGTTATCGGCAGGATCCGCTATAATCTGGCTCCCAGCCCTGATATTATTTTTCAGTTTTGTTTTAAGAGCTTTTAAAGAAAGGAGTTGCCTCAGCAGCTTGAGAGCGAGATATGATGCGCCTTCAAGAGTCCAGAAAAAGACGGCCCAGAGACTCGACAGCAATTCCACTTCCCAGTGTGGCGCTTCTGTGAGTAGAAGCCAACAATGAGGAGTCCTTGGGGGCTGATCCATGGGTATTTGAGATGTTCACCATTAATGAGGGCAATTGAATAGCTCGCTGAAGCCTAGAACTACATGGGGCATAGTGTGAGCCTAGAAGCATAGCTCATGCTGGTGTCAGAATTAAATGGTCCCGTGTCGTAGAGGGGCTTCACTGGTCATAGCTGAGCATGGCTGTCTCCATGGCCTAGCCCAGTGACCCAGCCCAATGACCCCTGGTTCAAATCTATACATAGAGTAAAACCCACCGTTTTAGGAGAGTAACTTCTAATCGATCTTGGGGCACAGCATAGATTAAGTCCACATCCACCCACCACACAGAACCACAAACATGTACGAACAACCACATGTCCAGACACGTGCTCTTCCAGGTGTGCACACCTCCACCCACTCAAGTACTCTGACCCTACTCTGGCCAAAAACACAGACCAGGCCAGGCCATACTAACACCCCAGTCTCTCTGGCCACGGTTTGTTGACTGTCCATTTAATCTGTAACTTTTCCTTGTCCATCCATGCATACCTGGAGAGTCCACCTTTAGGGACGGAGCTTGAGCAGGCCAGGGGGTAGGGAGTAGTGCTGAGCCTCTCAAAAACATTAACTTGCTAGCACTGTTAGTTTCTAATGCCTTCTACCAAACGCCCAATACTCCTGAGCAGGAACTGGAGGCAGACCCCTCCTCTTGTTAGGGCTCCAAGAAGCTTGTCTAGAAAGCAGTGCTGCCAAAGCGGAGCAGGTCTCCTCCTCTGGTCCCTGTATGGAGCATGTGGAGCTGGGCAGACTGCCAGTCAGCCATGACACCAGTCTTGCTCCTCTCTCCATAGCAGAGCAGGGCAAGGGGCAAGCCCTCAGGGAGAAGCTGTGTACAGCTCTGGCCCCAGTAGAGGTGAAAGATCCCCACTGCCTAACTTCACCCCCATGATTTCTCCTCAGGACCAGCCCCTGATCCCTCCAAGTCACGCAGGCCAAGAACTGAGTGGGTCCTGCCACCCAGACTGAGATATTTCAGCCATGCTCTCGAGAGTCACCCACCTGCCCACTAAAAATGCCTTTCTCTTCCTTCATCCCCTAGACCTTGGCTGAAGAATCAAAGGCCGTCCATGACAGACCCCAGGTTGTTTCTTTGAGATTTTGATCAAGGGATGCCGCTTACTGTTGCTTCCCGCTGCTGGCCTCTCCCTCTGCTGGCCTCTAAGGAGACAAGAGACCCTGCAAAAACAACCAACCCTTCTCCACCCCCGTGACTTCTCCCTCGTCCTATGCTCTGAAAAGCCTCTTAGCGTCTTCGGTCACACCCTCATTGCCACTCCAAATTGACTTTACACTCTGTATCAGACACCTCAAAACGATGAGGCATTTGACCAAGAGGGAAACTGAGGTAGAAAAGAAGAAGGGAGACTCATCTTTGGCCGCTTTAAGCGTCAATAATTTGGGCTTCGTCGGTATTAAAGAAAAACACTAGGCAACCATGTTATTCCTCCCCTCTCCCCTAAAGCACAGGATATCTGGGAAGGCCCGGTTTCCATGACATAACTAGATTCCCAGTACCAAAGTGGGACAATATTTGCTGTGTTGACTAAAAATTAACCCAGCCTGCCTGTTCCCTAACCCTGTCCCGGAGGGACCTAGTGCCTGGTTTAGGAACTCCCTGTCCCAAGCTTGACCTCCCCATTGAACATTCTCTTGAATTTCAGGAGTCGAGGGTCAATATCATGATATGAAATTGTAGACTTATGACGCATGCACCCGACCCCATCTCTGGTAGCCTTGGTAGTGCTGATCTCCAACCTGTTAGAAAGGAGAGCAGGGCAGGCTGGAAACAGAAGGGACAACGTGCCGCTATAAAAAATAAAAAGTAGAGCCTGTGCCAAAGGACCACTTACTTAAATGATCTGCCGAAGCGCAGACCCAAGAGCAAAGAGCAGAAAGAATAGACTAACACCCTTCACCAAAGTATTTCAGGACATGGGTCCCAAACCTGGAGACCGCAAAGGACAATGGTCTATTGACAAAGTAAGGTGTGAGGTAGGGACTGAGCCTTGCTCTGTCTTTCACTAGAGATCTTTCGAGGCCTTTGGACAGTTCCATGGGTACTCCTCCCATGATGCCTCCCATGGTGTCAGGCCATGACAAGGAAGTACTAGGAAGCATTGGCCATAGCTTGCCATTCGAGTGTCTAATGTTAGCCAGGTGGCGGTGGTGCACAGCTTTAACCCCGGCAGTGAGGAGGTAGAGGCAGGCAGATCTCTGTGAGTTTGAGGTCAGCCTGGTCAACAGAGAGAGTTCAAGGACAGCCAGGGTCCTTCTCGTTTCTGATCTTCCCTCTTCAGATAGCTGCATCCATGGTGTGGGCAGAAGACAAGATCAGGAAGTGGGAGGAGAATTAGTGACTTGAGACCTGAATTCCAAAACAGACCTAAAGGCACCCCATTTCCAGACTCCTCTAGAAGTGGACTTGCCTCACATCCACAGAACAATCAGAAACTGTGCCAGGAGTTCCTAACCCCCGAGGGCATCTGGTTTTCCTCCACAATGTAGGGATGCTTCTATTCAACCAGAAGAGAAGGCTCTTGTAGATCCCTCCTGGCTCGTGCTCAAGTTGGGAAGAGAGGCTACCAGCCACCCTCACCTGCTTCTAGATCCCCACTAAGCTGGTAGACAGCAAAGACTCAAAGTGGGCACCCTAAACATGAAGCCCTGTCTCCTGCTCTCACTGCCCTCAAGATGAAGGAATCGGCTCTCCCAGGACCCTCCTCCCCCTCCGGCCATGCTGGGTGCCAGTCTGGCATCTCTCCCAGACTATTTCTGCTGACCCAACTCTCCTTGCTCAGGGGCAGGAAGGGCAGAGAGGCACCCCTGGGGTCCACCTCCTTCCTGTTTTCCCTGCATCCTGCTTTCCTCAGACTAATAAGTTACTGAGGGTTGAGGAAGTGGATCGGTCTGGGACCCAGAGCAGGAAGCTTGGGGCCGAAGTCCCAGCATCCGGACCGCAACAATGGAAGAATGAGCACCAGGAAAAGAGAGAAGCACAGAGTGCGGCCCAGCGGCCCAGCGACTCAGCTCAGCAGCTCAGCGGCAGCAAGGCTTCCGAGAAGGGACAATCACCAGAGTCGGGGATACAGGCAGACCGTCCAGAAAGAGTCACCAAGAGAGACATCAAAAGAGCACCTGAGTCTGAGATAAAAGAGAGAGGCCAGCAGAAAAACAAACTAAAGCAGAGTGAGGAGAATGAAACTAATAGAACTCAGGAGAGCGAGAGGAAAGAGAACTCGGGATTGTTTGGTGAAACTAGAAGTTGGGTCACACACAGCAGGAAATAACAAAAGAGCAAGAGAAGAATTCTTAGAAGAAACTGAGAAAGGCCCACTGAGAAATGGGAACAGGGAAAAGTAAATACAAGATCAGCGCAAGGAACATTCTGAAAACCCGTCTACTTGTCCATCTGTCCCTCCTCTCCTCTCAGCCCATACAATCCCAAGATTTCTGCAGCTCTGGGCTGCCAGCCAGCAGCTCCCTCCAGTCCCCTCAGATGGCACCTGCCGGGAGGAAGGAACAAGAAACCTGGATGTGCCAGCCTGGCAGAAAGAGCCCTGTCTTCCACTGTTTCTGGGGCCTTTGGGGAAGCACAAATCTCATTCTTTACTATCGGAGTCCCTAGGATTTGTATGCCTCACTTCACCATAGGGTGACGATTGAGAAGTCCAGGCCCTGGTTCCTCACACCTTTGGGTGTCTCCGGAAAATGGGTGTGGAGCAGGCCCTGGATCAGGAACAGAAAGGGACCCCCCCAACACACTACACACACACACACCATCCTTATCGCGGTTTTCTGGCAAATGTAACTGAACCAGGTCATTTAACTTACCATAATCGCCTCAGGAGCCAGGCTTATCATTGAGATGGAGGCCCCGCTTCCCAAAGAAGGGAAGTTTGAGCTGAAGGGATGGTACCAGGTTCCCCTTGACCAGTGGCAACTGGCACTGGGATTCAGTGCCACTTATCAGACTCTGTCACTGTGCCTCCCTTCTCCACAACTCACTGGGAGCTTTTACGGGCCTCCCAGCCAACCCCAACGGGAGCCAAGTGGCAAGGAAGAGGGCTCTTGGGAAAGGTGACAAAAGAATAATAGGTATGCCTTACCAGAGGACTGCAGGCTTTCCTGGATGGCCTCGATCTCCGACAGCTCCGTGCACACGCCCTGCCCGTGCATCAGTGTGCGCAGGGGCTTCTCCACTCCCCGGGGCGGGTAGCAGCGCATGCCTGAACCACAGCGTGGGGTGTACACCCCGCAGGGCATCCCCAAGCCCAGGGCACAAGTGGCGCAACAACCGCAGCCAGGCTCCCGCACCAGCTCCTCGCAACCCACAGGGGGGCGGCAGCGCGCCAGTTTCTCCTCGGAGCAGGGGGGGCAGTGGATGGCTTCGTCGCCCAGGCTCGGCAGAGGCCCTGCGGCCAGCAGCAGGGCGGCCACGAGGCCGAAGGGCAGCATGGTGAGGATGAAGATTTGTGCACAGAAGGGGAGCGCGGACTCGCGAGCGGGCTGCAAGGGACCCGGAGGCAGCGCCCAGGGCGCTAAGTGGACCAGACCTGGAGGGCGTGGGGACACGGGGCGGCCCCGGCAGGCTGGGACGGAGCTGGGGAAGTTAGCAAGCACGCTGGAGCGAAGCGAGCCTGGCCACCCAGGCGCTGCGCTGCATCCTCGGCCCGGCCCAGCAGGCGGCGGGGGCAGGGGGGCTGAGCGACTGCCCGGGACCGGCTCCCGGGACTTTATACCGGCCCCCTGGCCACACCCCCAGCGCCGTCCCTGAGGTGGGAGAGCAGAGGCGGGTGAGGGGGAACTGGAGCGGGAGAAGAGACCGTTAGGGGGAGGGGGCGCTGGCCTGAGTCACAGCCACCGCTACAATATCTGAAAGTCCTTTGCTCCGCAGGAAAAAAACAAAACCAAAAAAAAACCCAGCGCAGTTTGGAAGCGGTGGCCAGCGTGCAAAACGCCTCTGAGCCTCTGAACCAGAGCCCTCGGGGGGTTGGGAGAGGCGGGGTGGGGGGGCGAAGGGGCTGCTGCTTGGTTCCCTTCCTCGACCTTGAAGGATTCCTTCCCAGACACTTAAACAACCCTTGAGAACCTGACCTCTTAGCCGACTCAATGTCCTTGCGTTCAGTCACCTTCCTTGGCCGAAGGCGGCCACCCTACCCCACTCCCTGGCACGTTCAGTCTCAAGCTCTGAAGACTACACTGTGCAAGGTAGGGCAAGCACTCTATAAGGGGTTCAGGAGAGCTCCGGGCTTGAGGCGCCAACAGGCAGCTGTCTTTGCACTTGCCCCCAGAACCTCTGCCGCTTGACCCCCTGCGCCCCAGGTTTCATTTGGGTCTTGCTGCACTCTGTTTCCAGAACTCCAGGACAAAGAGCCAAGCCTCTTCCTCTTTCTTAGATGTTTTCACCTCTACTACCTCGTTTAGATTCTGGAAGGAGACTGGCCTACAAGACTGACATTGGCCATATACCAAGACGTACGTTGAACAACCCCAGGGGGCACCGTTCTTTGTACTCATTGTGTAATTGTATGGTTATTGTGACCATTTCCCAGTAGGTGGCAGTCAAAGATTTCCAGAAAGGGAAGCCTCTTAATTTTCCCGACGCCACTTCGCCCCTGGGTGACATCCTATTGATGTCATACCTATACCCTACCCCTGGTAGCAATCCTTCTGGAAGTGGGAATAGATCTAGAGACCCACCTCCTACCTTCTTTCTCATTTCTCCCTACGCCTCTTTATCCTCCCCAACCAAGGAGTTTAGTTTCCTTCTGTTTGTCCGGGCATCGTCGGAGGCCGGGTGGATTTGGGAGGGTAGATGGGATCGGGAGGGTCTTGCCTAAGCATCTAAGGAGAAGCCAAACTAAAGTATAGCTCCTAGATCTCTTCTTACTCTTTGTCCCTGGACAAGGGTCTTTCAGCCGCGGAATTAGGCCACCTCCCACTTTCGGCAAAAGTAAAATGTTGGCGCGGTTGGAGGCAGAAAGGCGCCAAGCGCTGGACCTGGAGGACAGACCAAAAAGTTGCGAACTGACGGCACCTACTGGCAACCCTTAGGACTGCAGGAGAGCTGACGTGTTGGGGCCGGAGACCGGGACTTTTCAGTCACATCACAAGGATCAGGTTGGATCCCTCCTGTCCTGTCTGCCTGGGAGAAAGGTAAACAGAACAGGTTCTTCAAGATCCTGGGAGGAAGCCAGCGTTTTTCTAATTCAAAAACCAGTCCCTGCCCCCACTCTCTTCCTTAAATTCAGTCGGCCTCCTACTTAACGGATAAACTTGAAGTTTATTTCTAGCTAAAAGGAAGGCTGATTATCACCCCCCCCCCTTCCACCTCTTGGAACCCCTGTGGGAATAAATGGGTCAATAAGGACAGTTTTGAAGTCCAATGCCCAACTTGCCCTCCAGACAGCAAACCCAAGATGGGTAGAAACCCTGGGATGAGTACAGGTGCTGTGGAAAGCAGGCATTCTGTGCTGGTTTCTAGATGACACCGAGCGACTGCCCCCAGCCCATCCTCTGGTGTCCTCCCCACCACTGCCTAGACTCATTCCCAGGAAGCCAGAGACCAAGCACCGGCTGTCCACCTATGGCGTGTTCACTAAGCACCTTTTTATTGCTCCAGGACTTTGTGCTTCGTCTTGAGAATAAAGAGGTGACCAAAACCACTCTGCCTCAAGGAGAGAGAAGATGAGTGTGCACTGGAAATAAGTTTTCTAAGACATGCACAGGTGCCCTGGGGGATATTTATACGGGACACACGGGGATCCAGAGGCACGAGCGAGCCGTTCTATCTCTGGGGCATGAGAAGTGTTCACTGAAGAGGTGACCTGAGACCACGCCTTCAGTGCTCAAGACTAAAATAAAACTGGCATCGGCATGGTCAGGCTAGATTACCAATCCAGAATTGTCACGTGGATCTCACTAGGGACCCTGAAGCTCAGGGCTGGTCTAGCAATGGGGACTCTGCAATAAGAGCCCCTTGTGGGAAAGGCCTGGGATGAAATAGACACCATAAATTTAGTGCCTTCCTAGACCTCCCCTGCTCGGAACTCATTCCAGATACCAGGAGCTCTCCTGATGAAAGCACTGTGTCCTCGTCGTTCTCCCCCCCTCACACACACACATACACACTGAACTGGAGACTCTCAGGGTGGAATGTGGTCAGGGAGTAAGGAGAAGTGGAAGAGTCAGAGCCAGCCCACCACCCCACCCAGTGTAAGCTGTAGCAGAGCCCCTCAATGTTATATGATCCTGGATCTGCCATTTAACATCTTTTCAAAAAGATTTATTGGCCTAAAAAGAAAGAAAGAAAGGAAAGAAGGAAGGAAGGAAGGAAGGAAGGAAGGAAGGAAGGAAGGAAGGAAGAGCCAGGCAGTGGTGGCACATACCTTTAATCCCACCACTTGGGAAGCAGAAGCAGGCAGCTCTTGAGAGAACTGAGTTCAAGGCCAACCTGGTCTACAGAGTGAGTTTCAGGACAGTCCAGGCTACACAAAGAAATCCTGTCTCTAAAAAATCAAAAATATAAAAGTTATTGGTATTTATTTATTTATTTATTTAGAGGTGGGATCTCATGTAGCCTTTGCTAGCCCGGAAGTCATTACATAGACCAGACTAGCCTTAAACTCATAGAGCTTAAACTCCACCTACCTCTGCCTCTTGAGTGCTAGCACTGAAGGCATGTGCCCCCAAGCCCAGGTATTTTTTATTTTTAATTGTGTATACGAATGTATGTGGTTTTTTTTAATATTTATTTATTTATTATGTATACAATATTCTGTCTGTGTGTACATCTGCAGGCCAGAAGAGAGCACCAGACCTCATTACAGATGGTTGTGAGCCACCATGTGGTTGCTGGGATTTGAACTCAGGACCTTTGGAAGAGCAGGCAATGCTCTTAACCACTGAGCCATCTCTCCAGCCCCCATACGAGTGTATGTGTAATGTTAAAAATAAAATGCACCATTCCCCAAGGGGCGGCAGCAGGCAGCAGGCCACGAGGGGCAGTGGGTCCCAGGCAGGGAGCTGCACAGAGGGTGAGAGACCTCGGTGGATCAGCTGATCCCATCAGGAGCTGCAGCGGGGCAAGAGACAGAGACAGGCACGCCAAGCAAAGTGAGGTTGGATATATATTTAGTGGGTTATGAAAAGGAAGAGGAAAGGGGAGAGGGAGGGAGAAGGGAGAAGATGAGAGAGAGAGAGGCAGAGAGAGAAAGAGAAACAGAGAGAGAGAGAGACAGACAGAGAGAGAGAGACAGAGAGAGGGGGGAGGGGAGGGGAAGGGAAGGGAAGGGAAGGAAGATCTGCTTGCCTCTGCAGATGGTGGGGGGGGAGGACAGGGAGCAGGGCTTGTGTCTTAAAGGGACAGGACAGACCATTTTAGTGTGTGTGTGTGTGTCTGTGTGTGTGCAGGTACCCACAAAGGCAGAGGCCAGAGGTGTCAGATATCTTAGAGCTGGAGTTACCTGTGTCATAAGTCACCTGAGAACTGGTTCTGGGACCTGAACTGGAGTTCCCTGGAAGCTGAGCCATCTCTTTCCAGGTCCCCACTTAACATTTAAATGGGATAATTTTCATCTCTGAAGAAATGAAGGAAGGGGGAGGTGAACAGAAGGGCAAAATACTTGGACTCAGCCACAGAGAATGGTTAGAAGGAAACATGATTGTCCATGCTGGTTACTCCCAGCACCTAGGATAGGCCAGCCTGGGCTATACAGTAACTCTATCCATGACCACTCTCACAAAGGAAGGAGCCTGAAATCCACGAGCAGAGCTAACGGCACAGACCCTCGTCGGGCTCTCCCACCTGACTGCTGCCTCCTTGTGGACTGGATGCTCCATAATGAGCCTCGAGCCTCTGGGAAGCAAAATGCAATCCTATTTAAAACTCAGTCCTGCTTCCCTGTTATCTCCAGAGCCAGCACACCCTTGTCAGTCCCCGCTTCCGGAGAGCTGAGAAGACACTCCACCTTGGAGCACAGACGAAGAGACTCCTCCTCCACCTTTCAGTCCCTCCCGCCCCCCCTTCTCACTGGCTTGTTGATCAGGTCTCATTAGCCACCTTACTGGGACAATCCCAGACTTCCGCCCAGCTTAGAGAAAACACTCCTTTGAGAACAGATGCCGGGGAGAGGGGGAGTTTCAACTCCAATAAAGACAGAGTTCTGTTTGGCTATGGTGCACGCCTTGAATTCCAGCACTTGGGAGATAGAGACAGGAGATTCTTTGTGAGTTTGAGGCCAGCCTGGCCTATGTAGCGAGTTCCAGGTTACCAGAGCAACATAGTGAGACCCTGTCTCAAAAAAAAAAAAAGTTCTGTTCTCTGTTCTCAGGGAACACCCAATCTGATAAACTTGCCCTAGGGGTCATCTTGTCTGATGGAGTGGGCAAGATATATAATTATGAGAATTAGCCTTTAACTATCACAGACCGTGTCACAAAAGCTTCACGGAGGAGGAAAAGTGAGGCACGAAGGGATTACGTAATTTACTTAAAATCACACAGCAAGTAGAGGGACAAAGATGTGAACCTAAGCTGTCTCGCTCCCATCTGCACAATTAACTGCTATACTCCACCGCTGCCTCAATCAGCTGTCAGAAACATTCTGCGGGAACATCAAAGGCAGAAGACTATGACACAGTTCAAGCTGAGCATGCAGGTCAGGTAGCAGCCACTGATATGAGAGCTCCAGGTCTCCTTAGATCTTTGCTTTCCAGCTGACTCCTGACTGCCCTGTACTTTACTGTGCCTACACTAACCCCTTCACATCCGCTGACATCTAAGTACTGATAGGGCATCCCCATAGCGACCCCACGTGTGGGCCAAGCAATAGCATATCAGGACAGCTTTCCTCCTGCCCACTAGGACTCCATGCTTGCTGAGAGTTAATCAGGAGAGCCAGGATCATCAGAGAGGCCCCACAATACAAAGAGAACTCTTGCCCAGCCATTCTCTAGAGCCTTAGCTCTTCCCTCAAGACAGGCAGAGGCTCCAGGCGGGGAAGGAAGTGGGAAGAGGGGAGTCCATATGATATGCGCTTGGGCTGGCTAACATCCTGTTTCCTAGCCCCAGACCAGGCCGCTCTGTGACCACTTCCCTTGCCCCACTTCAGTTTTACCCTTTGTACAGTGGGCTGGGAGAACTCACCGCACCATCAAGCCCTGTCTGTCTCTGGCAATCTTGGAATATTAGAATTTTGGAGTGTGTGTGTGTGTTTGTTTTGTTTTTTGAGACAGGGTTTCTCTGTGTAGCCCTGGCTGTTCTGGAACTCGCTCTATACAGGGCTGGCCTAGAACTCAGAGATCCACCTGCCTCTGCCCTCCTTGCTGCTGAGATTAAAGGCATGTACCATTACCACCACCTGGCAGAATTCTAGAGTTCTCCAAAGCATCCTTCTGATGTGGTTCCAACCCTTCAGAGTCTGCATTGTCTCCAGTGGCACCAATAAATCTCTTCCTCACTAGCTGAAGCCTATAGAGAAGACAAGCTAAGTGAACAGTGTTGGACTTCATGAGAAGTCTGTCACACAGAGAAATGATAAGGCTTACCCAAGGGCACACAGGTAGCATATGACCCAACAATGTCTGTGCATAATATATCAACTTCCTGTGCACACTCCTGCCTCTGTGCCAGGCCTGTCACCACAGGCTCAGGTCTCAAGGAGGGGATGGGAGGGAGAGAGGGAAGTGCAACCTAGAAGATTCTACAGGAAGACTCTAAGCAGACAGAGCCACAGGCTACCGTAGAGAAGGCACTTGTCTTGTCTTCTCTGATACCCATCCTGTCAAGAGAAGGACAGCCACTTGCCAGAAAAGTCAGAAGCCCAGAAATAAAGTGGAAACCCAGCTCTTTCTCCTCCATACACTAGAGGGCTTCCAGGGCCTGCTTCCTAACCTCCTAACTCCAGGGAACAAAGTGCTACCTACCCACTAAAGAAACTCTACCAAGGGACCTCTGAGACAAGAGAGAACCCCAAAGTGGCTCCAAGCTTAGAGAGAGTCTATAGAGGGTCTTTTGACTCAGCAAACCCTGGAGAAGGGTTGAGATTCAGAGAGACCCCAACAACACCTGCCTATACACACCCATATATTCTTTTTTTAAAAGTTTTATTTATTTATTATGTATACAGTGTTCTGCCTGCATGTTTCCTTTCAGGCCAGAAGAGGGCATCAGATCTCATTATGGGTGCTTGTGAACCATGTGGCTGCTGGGAATTGAACTCAGGACCTCTGGAAGAGCAGTCAGTGCTTTTAACCGCTAAGCCATCTCTCCAGCCGCACACCCGTATTTCCTTATCCCAAAGCTGTGTCTTCTCTTTCCCACCAGTACTAGGAGTTTGCACATAGCCTTCTGCTTGCTTGCAGACCTCCTCCATGGAGCCATCAGTTCATGGCAAGGGCTACATATCCACCATAGTGGTAAAGCTCTAAATACCGACAATACCAGGTTGGAGAGTAAAGGGGCTCTCATATTGTCAGTAAAAAGACAAATATGTACAGCTACCTGGAAGCAACCCGTAAATTCACACCAGATGCCCACTCCCAATACAAAAGTGTGTTGTAAAAAAGTGTTCAAGGGTGTTCATGAGACACTGTTTAACATAGTCACCATTGGCACAGGAGAGAGGGCTCAGGGGTTAAAGACACTGGCTGCTCTTCCCGGGGTCCTGGTTTCAGTCTCTAGTCCCCATACAGTAGCTCAGAACTGTTAGCAACTCCAGTTCTAGGGGGTCCGACATCCTCTTTTGGCTTCCAGGGAATTAGGCACACGTGTGTACACAGACATACATGTAGGCACCAGATGGTAGTAGTGCACACCTTTAATCCCAGCACTAGGGAGGCAGAGATAGGTGGATCTCTGTGAGTTCCAGGCCAGCCTGGTCTACAGAGTGAGTTCCAAGACAGGTTTCAAAGCTACAGAGAAACCCTGTCTGGAAAAAAGAAAAACAAAACAAACAAACAAACAAAAAAACCATACATGGAAACAGGACACTCATACACTTTTGTGGGGGGCATTGAAACAGGATTTCTCTGTAGGTACTCTGCTCACTAAGCCATCTCCCCAAACCCTAAATTTCATTTTTAAACCTGAGTTCAATATCCAAAACCCATCTGGGGGAAGGAAAAGAGCAGAAGCCTGAAAGTTGTCCTCTGACATCCACCACACCACACACACACACACACACACACACACACAC